TCACAATTTGTTTATCGATCACAGATCAAAATTTCGAAGTCACAAATCAATAATTTTATAGGTCACAGTTCAAAAAATTACAGGTCACAGTTATTTATCAGTCACATATTTTCAAATTTATTGATCACGGATTAATTTTTAGTCACTAATCGTCAAATTTTAATGTCATGTGACTAACTGTGTTTTCTTTTACCACCACCTCACCACAGCCACCTGCTGCATTGCCGCCGCTGCCACAACCACCACTAACACCATTACCGTCGACCGCCACCTGTATCACCACTGTCTCACCAACAAAAAAACCCCAAAAACCACCGTACTGCCGTCTCGCCACCCCACCATCTCCACCGCCACCCCAACCACCATTTCTACCCAACACCCATTCATTGTTAATAAAAAACCATCGAAGTACCAACACCTTACCCTTACCCTCACCGCCACCGCCACCAACAACCGCCGTCGTAGTCGCCCAAAAAATACCAACAAAACAGATCCACAAATGCCATCACCACAACGCCATCACTAGTACCAGATCGTCGATGGTTCTGTGCGATCACGCTCAGATTAGATCCAAAACTAGAACGCCGCCGCAGCCACAAAAATGGTTATGTGCGATCTCCTCATCGAAAACCACAAAAATCCCGCTCAACACCCCTCTCAGATCAGGAACCCGAACACCGCTTATCACGAAGCAACCATGTGCCACCGCAAAGCACGAAGCAACCAATCTCAACTTGTTTGCAGCACTTGTAGTTATCGCACCGACAAGAAAATAGAGAGAGATGCAGGGAGTTTGATGGGAACGCGGTGCATCATCGGAATAGTTAGAGGCGGATGAGTTAGAGAGACTGATGAGAGAGAGGGAGAGGGAGAGGGAGAGGGAGATGGAGAGGAGAAGACAGGCTCCAGTGAGGAAAGAGAGGTGATTAGGGATTGGGATGAAATTAGGGTTAGGGATGATTAATATTTAATATATAAAAATAAATATATGATTTTAGAATATTGATTTTCAAAGGTAGGGTTCTGTGTAATTTGCCCTATTAGATAACTTTTGATTTTGGTCCATTTAACCCTCTTATCGGTCCAACTAAAGACTAACATATCATACATATATGTTGCTTTTGACCTAGCGGTTGTGTGTGAGATTTGTGCAATAGAGAGAAGAAAACGTGGGTGCTTTCTGCTTCCAAAACCCGGCTGCCATAAGGTTAAACAGGAGAAAGAGAGGAAAAACGTGGCCATTGTGAGAGAGAGAACAGCAGCTTGCTTCGGCCAAAAACACGTTGCTTCTTCCTTCTTTTTGGTCTCCCTTTGTGCCTCTTTCATTGCTTTCTTCTTGTGCCTTAAAGTTGGAGCCGTTTAGATTGGTTGTACCATTAGAACCTCATGTCTTGCAGAGGGGTCATATTTTGTATAGACCCTCACTATCCCAGTTTTGTCTGCGATATTTGGAAGTAGTAGGACAGATTACAATATTCACATTTTCCATTCCATTTACTTATTTATTTTTTCTTTAAATTAAAAACATAAAACTAAAACAATAAAAATAGAAGTCAAGTTGGGATGTAGAACCGACGGAGGACGCCACGGAATAAAGCAAGAGAGAACCATTTTCAGCCCCCTTGAAGATCAGGTGCAAAAATCTTGCAATCTGAAAATACTAACTCATTCCAGAATGACCAAACAAAATACATTACCTTTCAAACCAATGTCTCTCCTATGACAGCTAGAAAACCGACGTGCACAAGAACTTCAAATAAGGGAACCATTCTCTCCATCTTTAGCAGGCAAAATGAAGATGATACCATAAAATATTATGCTCTCATACTTGATTCAATAATACAGAAAACCACGATAAGGGGTAGCGGGTATGTTGACCTCTTACATTAATGCTCACAAAATAAAAGAAAGTGGAAATGTACAAGGTTGAATGGTTGAAAGTAAAATATGGCATCGAGAGGTTGAAGGGACTACATAAGCACCTGCTTTCTGATGTCCTCAAAATTCAACAGCAGATGGATAAAGTCTCCTGTACGCCATTCATTTGTATATCCTGTGTAGCGGCAGGATCAGTAATTAGCCGCCATCATAGATCCTCCAGTAACATTCAATTTCATGTCAATATTATGTAATCATAAACAAAACTACAAGAGATAATTCATCAAAAAATGAAAAATGAGAAGACATCAAAAGAGAATCAGAATCCAATTTTCCCATTTTAACTCCTATTCTCCAAATCGCCACAAACTCTTCCCAAACAGATATGCACACATTTTTCAACACACACATCACACTCCTAAAAAGAAATTTAATAAAAAGGGCACTACATGAGCAGTTGAGAGAATAAAGTAACAGTTGTATGAGTTTCCGTTTTCCTTGTAGCTCTTTTAAAGTTGAAAATAAAAAACAACTACCTAGATAACGACGGACAACTTAGCAATCCCTTGGGCTTGCTGTTGAAGGACGTTGTAGATCCTTCGCTTCATTGGCATCCAAGCCTTCTGCAACTGATGAATAATCCTCTCCTTCTGAATTAAAGGTCCCAGGGTTCATGCGTTGGGCCTCCTCTTTCGTACAAATTAAGATCTTTCGAACCATGCTACAGAATTCACTATTTTATCAAGCGATATATGTGCATCAGTCAAAATCGAGACAATATTTAGGAGTTTTGGTGATCGAAATTAATCTATACTTTCAGAACATGTTAGAGAGAAGCAAGAAGGATATCTTACTTCCATGGGTCATCTCCAACGAGCATCATATCATCCTCATCATCAGTATACACCAAAAGCCAATTCTTATTCCGATAATTAAGTTCACCATTACATTCAAAGAGATCATCTAATGCAGCAATCAATTCGTCATAGTTATTGAAATTGGCGAGATCCACGGATCTACCAAGGCCGATACCCTGCTTATGAACCTGAAATGAAAATAATAAAGATTGCAAAGCCATTTTATACTAGAAGTGAATAACAGTATCATTGAAAAGGAATATAGAAGTCCAAATCAAAACCTTGGTGCAACTCCTTGTTGAACCAGAATGACCTTTGCCTTCCCTGCCGCTGGAAACAGGAACACGGGTTTGACATTTTTTCTCCTGCTCACTACCGGTAACTTGATTATCCACCAATTTTGAGCCCTTCAATTGATCAGATCTTTGATTATATTCAAGTGCGGTGGATTTATGAGAGCTCACCCCAAGATGCATGCGATCTGCTGGCTCAACATAAGCATTTCTTTGTGGCAATGCAGGCTCCATTGGAATGGAGCTACTTATAAGGGAAATACCGAAGAGCTTGCAGTTCCCTTCTTTAAGTTTCACGTCATTGTGCTGTTTTTGAAATGCAGACTTCGGCACCAGCTCTCTAGACATCGAAGGTGGTGTTTGGAGATTAGGTGAAATTGGTGGTGGCATCAACCGATTACCTGGAAAATTTTCAGCTCTGTGATCAGGAATCATCGTATACGGTCTGAAACCACCATATCTCATATCCCCCGGCATCCGATAGCATGTATCAGCAACTTGTCCATGAGTTTTCATACTAGAATCCATCAAATTAAGTGACCAGCCAGAAGGATTAACAGCCCTCATGTTTCCGATTGATTTTAATTTCTCTTCATGCTCTTGTATTCTACGCTTTGTGATAGGTCCTGCTTGATCACCAGAAGCCGCATACAAGTCATGGGAGGAATTGATTTGCATCCCGAAACCTGATAAGAGATCCGTGAATGATGACTCTTGCCTTCCCAGAGGAAACCTTTTATCTGATCCATAGTTTATTGTCGTGGAAACATCATCAACCTTCTGATCATCTAATGAAGATCGCCATATCATTGGCATTTTTGAAGAGTCCGACTCATAGCTCTCCACAAAGGTGCCTCTCAAGGTGGAAAACTCCTGATCTTGCAAAACTCTAGGAAAACCACTGGCTGCTGAAGAGTTCACTGTTATCTTAGATGAAGCTACATTGCGACAAATAAATGGAACATATATGAGTCAGCTGGATATAAATTAAAAAAATTTATTTGCCAAAAGAAAACTCAGTTGGATCGAAAAGTACCTTCCCTTGTATGGACAGAAGAGACTGGAGATGAGGGCAAGATGTTTGATCGAGGCTTCTTTGGCCTGGACACTGGAAGCGGATTAAGAGCAGCAGCAGTTAGAGCAGGTTCTATTTCCCAGGGTGAAACCCTCTCAGGACGAGGAATGGTGGAAGTTTCATCCCATCGCACCTTAATGTAGGATTAAGAGATACAACTTCAGCATGAGATCTAAAAAGAGGTAACATGCTTCATCAAATACAGGAGCAACTACCTTCAGACATCTCCATTTTGATTCTGGCCATCTTTTAGGGTCAGCATCCTCAATACCAACTATAGTTCCGGTAAACCTAAAAACTTTTTGAATTAACATTTAATCGTAACGTCATCAAATCAGATGATAACTATTTTGAAAATTCCTAACAGTGCAGTCTATTCTTCAGGGTGCTAACTTGCTGCCTACCTCTGCTCTGGAGCTTCTTCACCTTCAAATCTCATTTTAAACCTCATTCCGGTGGCATAATTATTTTTCACGGACTCCGTGTACCGATCATAAGGGACAATATACTCAGTTGGGCTCATCCTGCCACAGATAATTATAGTAGAATGTCAATTAGAAGAGTGAAAAACACGCAATATAATATATACTAAGCATACTTTTATGGCTCAACATCACAGACAAATACGTCAGATACTTGTGTGACAGAAGCAAAGTCACATGCTTACTGCAGCAAAATTCAATCGCATATAAAGACAAAAAAAAAATAAAAGAAACGATAAAGTTCAGCCTCCTCAATAACTTATAAAACTGAAAATGGTCTTTCATTCTGTTGCTTGTTGACAACAGCCGTTGTGAACCCTCATAACTTATAAATTAATCTTTGACATGTTAACAGTTTTATTTTGGCAGTCAGACTGAAGTAAACACCACAAGTACACAATTCAAATCACATACCTGGGCTTGTAATACACTGTAAACATGGTTTTAGTCTGATTGGCATGCCAAGCTGTTGCCAGCACACCAAGATGCATACTGTGACTAGATATGACTGATGACGGTGCATTGCCTTCTTGTCTCATGGCACGTCTAACGCCTACTCGAAGCTCCCCATTCTCACCCCTACAAATTCCACATCACACATGTCACACATGAAAATAAGTGAGTACAGACATGGAGACGTTAAGATTGCACCAAACCTTAGAAATATGAAGGCATCCCCTGCAACAAGCCTCTTTGAACTCACAAAGAAGCTCCAACCACTCTGAAGGAGATGCCTCCGTGGTTGACCTGGAATTTAGTAAATTAATTACAATTATAGGTCAACAATCCTACCAAACCTTTAATGCAAAGCCAAAAAATATTTGAGAGAAGTGTATTGAAACAGAACAAAAATATCCATTAAATAACCCCATACTAAACCAATTTAAAAGCATTCCACCTAGAAAATTTTAATTCCCCATTTAGTTCAGGCTTTTTATTAGTTCCAATGAATTATATCATTTATATTAATAGATTTCACTTTATGGTTCATTTTCATTCAACATCTAGAGCAGATGTCATCGATGACACTGCAAGCATGTGCTAGGGTGATGAAGAAAAGTCTTCTTTCTTGCCTACCACGAAAGATATGTTTGAATCGCCACTCGTTGCCATGCAAATCTTTTGCCACCAACTCCTGGGTTGGAGGTTGTCGTGACATGTCCTGTCACGGGAAACAAATGACCTTTAAGACTTTGAATTCCAACAAATGGACATCCACACATAAGACAGCAGATTGAGGTAAAAAAATCTTAACCAGAGGGGGTAGACATTCATCGGCATGTCGTCTCAAGACTGAGAATCCCCCATGTGTGCTGGTGTCTGAGGCAGTCAACGTCTTACAAAAAGAATGCACACGACAACAAGGTGGGGATGGTGGGAAAGGTTCCTTCTTCACTGCATTCTCATCTTGCTGAAATAACAAGCCATCAAAAAGGTACAAAGGAAATTCAATTCAAAATTATAAATTTGTAGTTCTAGTATACCAGTGATCATGATTCAACTTACATTAGTTTCAGGCATCAAGGTTACTTGTGCAAACACCTCGTCTGTATCCGGTTCAGCCTATTCCCAGAGAAACACACGTAATAAAAAATAAATAAAAATTAAAAATCAAAGAAAACATAATTAAAGTAACGAGATAACAAAAAATTACAAAAGCTTATAGATACAAAAACAACCAAATTGTTAAAATATCAAACAAGCAAATTACCTTTAACAGAACATTAACCACTCGGCAAAGGATCTTGGATGGAAGATTATACACGGGCATATGCTGGTCTGCACTTTGGCTAGTCGCTGCCTCCACCTGTAAAAAATAATAATAAAAAAAATCAACTAATAAGCACAGTCTCAATAAAGCAACTGCACAACTGAACAACGCAAAGGGCAGCTAATAATAACCATATCAATGAATAATTATTTATCATGCAGATAGCACACAAAAAAAAAAAAAAAATCGAAAACCTCTTCTAAGTGACCCTGGGGGAAATAGAAAACGAGCTCCTGTTCACGAGGCACAGTAACTAAAGGACCAGCACATGCCCTCCATAGCTCCGAGTACAGCGCTGCCTCAGCATCCACTGTAAATCACCCAATACCGAATTAAAAAAATCATAATTATAACTTTTTTAATAATTAATAAACCAAAAAAAAAAAAAGGAGCCCAGGGCACAAACTAAGTACTACAGATAAAATCGTCCAAATTACCCTTTCCGGCGCCAATAATTTTTCCCGACATCAAGGATTTTGAGCGTTCGTCGATCGACACCTCCGAATTAACCATTTGTCTACACCCTTCTTTCAACCCAGATCTCTCATCACCAAACTCCACAAAAAGATAAACAGAAAATCACCTTTTTAACTTCAAAACCACAAATAATTTCCGAAGATTTCCCGTAAATTTCTTTCCTCTGTGTTTCTCACTCTAGCCTCTTCAATTTTTCTCTCTATATAAGCAAGTTCCATTGCGTAAGTATATAGAAAGTATATGTGAAGCAAGGGAGTTGGAATACGGAGAGACAGTGATAACTAATAAAGGCGAGAGAGAGAGAGAGAGAGAGAGAGAGAGATTGTTACAGTAAAAATAAAAATTTCTACCGCGGTCAATTTTCTAATCTCGCGGAGAAATTTGTTGTGCCCATTCTGCATCTCTGTATTTTGTTGGGGATCAAAAGTACAAATTTCCCAAAAGGGCTAAACATATACAAGTGTTAAAAATGTTCTAATAATTATTTGTGACATCGATCGATACGTAAAAGAGAAAAAAATAAACAAAAACAAAATTAACGATGAAGTTTTGATACCTAATTTAACCTCGTGTTTTTGTAAGTGCCCAAAATTTCAATTTTTAATAATTCATACCTAATTTATATAGCTGTTATGTTGATTCGGTTGTGGTGCCCAATGTCAGAGGCAGGAGGCCTAGATTGCAAAAATTTCCATCGCGTACAAAATTTATAGAGCCATGCTAGCTTGAGAACTAGATCTGACCCTGATCATCAAACCTTGAATCGTGTTAGCACGATTCACTTTACACTTCTAATTTAACTTGAGTCGTGCCGCAAGTTGATGAGATATTGTAGCGTGGTGGGAGAACAAAACAACAAAAACTAATGGACCCAATTGAATTTGTCTATTAGCAGTTTTGTGTGGTATAAAGGCTCAAAATATGGAAGAATCTTAGTCCAGAAAAAAATAGCTTTAATGAAGATAATGGCATCTCTATCTATATTGTATCTTGTGTAACTGTTATTTAGCCCCCTAGGCATCACCAAAGTAAGAAATAAAGCACATATGTTCGGGTTCGGTCGAGAATCGGAGAAAGCGACGAATGAGACTTGCTATTTAAATTCGAACGATTAAATTGAAAATTGCAAATTCATTATAATCGGAATTTTATTTATTATAAATAATTATTACGAATTGGTCTTTGATCAACAAAATTATTACTCGTTTGAGTCCATCTTCATCGATTGGGGTGTGGGTACAATCATTTAGTATTGACTCAACTTTTTGAAGAATTAAGGGTCTGTTCTCTTTACTATTTTTAAACCGTTTTCTGTTTTCGATTTTCCAAAACAGTAAAAACGCGTTCTGTTTCCTATTTTCGAAAACACGTTTTGGGTGTTTTCAAAATAATTTTTCAAAATGTCAAAAAAAAAACACATATTCAACAATTTCATAACGAACATTCAAAACACAAAACTGAAATACAAAGAGAATAACCCCTACTTATTTCGTTCATTTATTTTGGCAGCATCGGAGAACCAATTGATTTTAAACAAATATTTTTATATTGTTCTACAAATGCAACCTACGTGTCATATTTACTGTGGTCAATTATCAATAATTGGACGACCCAATCAAAGTGGACTAATGTCAATCGATCAAACGCCCTTTTTATTTAGTTGACTGATCCTAATGGTCCAAGTGATTATTCCACACAATTTCATTCACTAACTTGGTCTCAATTAATCAAATCGCATTTTCACACAAGCCAACATCCAACCTCTAAAATATGGGTTTATACACGTTGACAATCGTTAGGGCGGCAAAGTCAAAATCGTTATACTTATTAAAAATTAGTATGTCTTTGTCCCTTAAAATGACCACATAACGCGACACATAGCTTGTGCTGACGTCATTATCGAATTCAAATGTAAAATTATGAAAAATATATTTTATACTCATCACGTACATTTTCGATATAGAAGACATAAATTGTTAAATTAATTTCATGTAATTAATAGTTCACAATTTTGAAAGATATTTTTGATAAAAATTAAACAAAAAATAGTATTTTATCACTTCATTCGATAAAAAAAATGGTAATTTGAATTATTACCTTTACTTTCAAATAATTATCCTGTTCAAGATAATCCATATATAACAGTACAAATACCCTTCAAAAGCATATATTCAAGAAAATGTTAAAAGTAAAACATAAAAATAAAATAAAATAATGTGTTGATAAATTATTTTAATCAGGGATAATCATGATATTGATATGTTACAGATGTAGGATGGTGACACAACCCAAAGTTTATGGTAAAGAACCAAACAAAATAATAGGTTACGTGTCTCGAGTAGAGAGTACTCATTTTACATCTTGTCCCTATTTTCACCCTCGTATATTTAGGCCCTGTTTGAGGCTTTGAGCCACATTATTTTTTTCATTATCATTCGTCTACTTATTTTTAACTACACATTATTTAAAAAAAATAATATTTTTCATCATATCAATAACTTTTCCTTTTTTTTCAATCACATATTTCTCATCACATCAAACAAAAAAATGTATTATTGAACTCAGAATGTGCACCAAATAGGGGTTTAATTAGGAAAAATCCATTATTAATTAGCGGCCTTACCCTAATGTGAGAGAAGTTGTAAAAATTACAATCTCCTAATAATTGTACACCTAGCATTATTCATTTAATTGATCCCTTTCATAACCACGTGATTAGTAATAAACCAAGTGTCAACTTCGACTAGACATAAAATACCCTCTTGCATAGTAATACACCCTTGTCCTGTATTGTACTAACAAACATCACATTTGGGTATTAACATAAAAGTAAAGATGATCAGATATCAGTGTTCTAAAAAGTTCATCTAGACGGTGCCGCCTATCTCGAAGCTTGGGCAAAACGCCATGTTTCACTTCTAGACTCTTTTTTTCTAATTTTCAAACGGTTGAATTTTTTCCTTCCTATCTTTTGTCTTCTTTAGATGAGCTTTATTAGTACTTTTAATTTTTAAGTCTTTTATTCGACTTTAACTTATTATTATTATTATTATTTTTAAAAAAATCATTTGACATTAATTTCAAATTTTAATTTATCTGTACAAAAGTTTAAAATGACTGTATCCAAACAATTAAATAAGATTTAAGCCATGATACTATCTACATTGAGTAATTATGATTTTAAGACTCATTACTTTATTGCAAGCTCTAAAAACACGTATAAAGTTCCTATAAATCTATTAAATATGACTTATCTAGTTGAAAATTAAAACTATGAAAAATATTCTAATTTTTACAATTTAAAAACTTGAAAATTGTATAATTGACTAATGTTATGAATTATTGAGTAAATATAGTATTCTATAATTTTAGATATTTGATATGTATAATTTTAATTATTAAATGATTTTAAATTTTAAAATAATATGAAAAATAAAAAGGCTTTTCTACGCCTAAACCTCCACGAAGCTAGTTTAACCTCGTAAAGTTTGAAATTTTGCCTCTACAGATTTTACGCTTTTTAGAACAATGCTGAATGTATATGTGTCGCCCTAAGATAAACACTTCAACCAAAGCCTATTGTTCACTTCGAGCATCCACCGAGTGGATAAAGCTCTAGCACCATGAACCAAACGATCGGCAATGAAGGTTAGAATTGAAAGCTCGTTAAGAATGAATAGAGATACCAGCGTCTCTATATCAAAGAAAACTCCAAACACGTTCTATAATTACTCTTCGCCAAGAATAGCGAACACATTTTCTTACATAAATGAGAGGATTCTTCATAGAATTACGGAACCAAGTTCTTAATTTCTAAATAAAAACACTAGTCTGGATAAATGAGTTTTAAGAGATTTTTTAAGACCAATCTATTTAATGTAAATCAAAGATCAATCCCGTAAAATGTAAAAAATTAATTTTTATTGAACTATTTTGTTTTAAAATACAAGCTGTTAGAACTTGACAAGCATAACATTGAAGCTTTTATAATTTAGTGATTAAAAAAAATTGATTATATAAGGAAAAAATTATTTTTTGAGGGAATATAAGTTTTTTTACTTAGCCAAACACGCTCTTCCAAGCAGGTCACCAGACATCACATTTTTCATATGTTATTATTATTCTTAAATACTTTAATATTCAGGGAAGGTGGTTGAGGAGTTGTACCTATAGAAAGACGATACCTATGCATCATTTATTAATTCTTGTACCCTACAAATTGGTCCAGACCACAATCCTATTCCACTTTGTAACATTATTTTATAAAAATGGACCATGTTTACATGTTGAAAATTTGTAGTTTATTATATCAAATATTTATAGTTATTTTTTGTCAATTAATGATAAAAATATACTATTCCAATAAAACAAAAATTCCGTTCAAAGTGGATTACGTGTCTAATCATGCTTATGCTTTTGTATAAAAATTAATAATTATCTCGACCGCCTTTCATTTATTTGTATATAAATTCAAATTATGGTAGGTAAATAAGCAACCGACCCTTATTGTTTAGTTGTATTTTATTTAAATTTTTACCGTTATGTGAATTCATTATCTTAATATTTAGCAAAAAAATAACATAAAAATTTAGTATTAAACAACTTTATTTATAAAATCTTGACTATATATCTCGATTACAAGGTCCACCAGTCTTAATTTTTTTTTTTTTTTATAATCAACGCCTGTAATCAGGTGGAGGTTCTGAAACTAGAATATAAATAAACTAAGAGGGAGTATGAAGTGTGGCTTTAAATGTAATAAAAAAATAATTATTTTCATTTCTAAAATAAAAAATTTTAACGAGGTTGGATCTGTATTATGTCCTTGTCAAATCTTTTCTTTCCACGCGTTCAAGAACCATAATGAATTGCACGTAATGAAACTTTAAAGCACTCAATAATAAATTGTAATTGCCCATCACTTTTCAATCCTTCGGTCCTTGAACTAAAAACTTGAAAACAAGTACATTGTACCAATTCGAAAAGTCGTTTCTAAATAAAATCTTTTGTGATGGATTCTATGCACAAAAGTTTGTCCACCGTAGAAATCATTAAGTAGTTAAGTTTGTTATTTTAAACATTCTATCGATTTTAATGTCAAATTTAACATCAAATTGCTTGAAGATGCCCTCGAATAATTATTTGAGGATTCATAATTTAATTATTTATTGTTGATTGTAAAAAAAGGAAGCTATGCGAATTGGATTGAAATGATAAAATATGGGTACCTAATGACAAACTGTCCATATTTTTGGGACTCGTGAGGAAATAAATGGGTTGGGCCGAATTGAGAATTATCCAGCCCAATTATGGATACAGGCAATCTTATACTTGTCAACTATTTATGGACTATTGTTAATGGTCTGAGTTAGGTTTGAGACTTCCATAGATTTCCCTTTTTAGCACCACTTTTTAGAGGAAATTGCATGAAACCAGAATTTAACATATTTAACACACTAATGTTACCTTCAAAATAACCCAGCCCATGAATCGCATAGGCAAAAACTAGTATTATTAAAAATTGTATTATCAACTGATTTTTGTATATATAAATTATAACTCTGATTTTGAAATGCAATCTTTAAAGTAGGAGTAGGCCCGAATGTAATTTCAACTATGAAAAATTTATATTAATTGAAGGCTCGATATTCTTGTTTAGAAGCTAAACATGTAAAAAGATAAAAAATTATTTATTTATAATTTGTATTTTCCGTAAATATTTCATTACATAATATTAAAGAAACCAAGTGCATCTCCATTCATTTAAAAAATACACGTGTTTTTAAGCTCCAACTTAATACTTTGTAGCTGGAAGTGCAAGCTGAGCCTCATAAATCCACACAATTTGCACTTGTCGAAGTCAAAGGTCGAATTTATTCATAAATAATTTTGTTTGAATAAAGTTTACATCTCCCCTTCCCTTTGAACAATCTACGAGTTCCCACCAAATTGTGCTCCATCAAATTATCAAAGTGTGATTTCTCCCTATTTGACCCTTTCCTTTTGTACATTTATTTACTTTTAACATATTGTGAGTCACGCCATCTCTTGTTCAATTAAATGATATAATATAACATTCAATTCAAAATTAAGAGGGTGTCTGGGAGCACTATTAAAAAGATTTTAATCCAAAAATTGACGGTTTCTTTCCACCATTGGGTCCCACATGTGAAGCAAGAAGTCAAGAATGGCTGCTACCAACGGTTTAAAAAGCAATTTCTGTGGCAAGATTAGCGCTCCCAGACAGCCTTTAACAAACAACAAATGTAATACTTATATAATAGACAGCAAAAATATTAAATTTAGGGATACATCTACGAGTCGAGGGAGATTGGTTACCAGCCTGCAACGAAAGGAGACTTGATTGTATTATAAATTCGCAAAAACTTAAGAGGGAGACATCCACGACTTGATCAAGATCGATAGAGTGAGATATATTAATGTAAAAGTATATCGTAATTTTGTAAGTTCATAGAGTCTATGATCTATCAAAAATGTATTAAAGTCAACCCTCCATTTAGGTTTTGATGAGTTGGCGTAAAAACCATTGCCAATTCTTGAATGGCATTTTTTTTTCAGTAAAAAAAATGCACTCTAATGATGTTTACTTGTTTTCCATTCAAAGATCGAACTAAAGTTCATAGTTGTAAGGTTGTTGATGAGTAAAACTTGAGATTTTCTCGATTTTTCCGTTAATTATATATTGTTCTTGAATCAACGGATATTTGATGATGAGATTCTCGATATTCAATCGAACCAACAAGTTTTTTAATGTTCTAATCAAATTCAACTTATTTTCGCTAATAGCTTATAAAGGCCCAATAGAAATATAATTAATTCTTACAAGTTGAACGTGGTTCTTGAAATGTGAATATTTGGAATTGTTCGAGTAATATCTACACACCACGAGCATTAGAATCAAGACTAATGTGGAGATATAGTAGAAATTTCGATCTATAACGATTGTGAATCCGATTTAATACTGCTATAAACGCTTTCGATAATACATTTGAATTATTGAAGACTTGAATTCCATTATGTTTACAAGTAATTTGCACTCGTTTTGATACTATATTGAATAATCAACTTGTCAATAAAGAAATAAATTTATTTATTGATGTTTATATTTATAACGTAAGTCATTACAAAGAGCCAAATGCTTATAAACTGGAAATTCAACGCCTCACGGTGGAACGGGGCAGGCGCAAAGACAACACGGCGGCGTGTTAGGCTGACAGCAAACACATGAGGGACACTTCACCTTGGAAAGTAAATCTTGCTGCCTTGCAAGGAAGTGTAGGAGAGAATACAAACATTAAGATCATAAATGTCACCAAGAAACTCTTTGTAGTGTTACTCGCCATTGTTTTTACTTTGCAATCAGTAGATGTTTAAGCCTATATATATAGTATAGGTATCGATTGCCTTTTAGTCAGCAAACAAATCCATTATTTATTGTTTCTAAAGATCAGAACGATATATATTTAATGCGTATGACATGTTATGTGATAGAAGTTTGAATTCTACAACTGACTTTAGGGTTGAATTCTTATTTTTTAATTATACTCTTGAATTATGAGGTTTGAAGTTTTCCTCAAAGACAATTATTTATATCCTGTTGCTTCAGTACATAACATCCATGATGCTACTGTTAATATAGTTGTCGTGAAAAGCTGCTCGAGAATCTAGTTTGGGCCTTCTTGTTTATATATGTTGTCACTAAACTTATCGAAATAATTTCTTGTTGAGGTATTGTTTCATCGAGATTCAATCATATATCCCTTAATTTGGTTTCTAAGCATTACTGAGATTATTATAGTTAACTGTTGACTGCGAAATTCCATTCTGAATTAGATTCATTCACAATGTCAAGAAGAAAGAAATAAATATATTACAGAAAGACCATGTGAGTACAACTTATAAAGCATTGTAATACTTGTATTGGAGTATATTAGTATTGTTTTAAGCATGTCTAATATCCTTTTTCTTGTTTCCACTTTTGTGTGTGCAATTGTTTGACAGAAAAACTTAAAACAGAACAACCACAACATAGGTTAGATGTTGATCTTTCTAGCTACAGAAAAAGTGGAAAAGTCTTAGTAAGGCCTTGCCAGAAAGTGTTCTTGGGTAGTCGTCGTTTTTTGGCAATTCGGCTGTCAATGGCTCTTATGTGCGAGAATTGGCCTATTGAGTAATAAGAAACGAGCTACTCAGCGCAGAAAAGTGGCATCTGGTAGAGGTATTCCTTCTAGAAATGACTTGAATAAAACAAGTGATCTCTCTGGCTTTGAGAAAGGAGCTTCATGAGAAGCCCCTCTGATGGTGGCAAATGACAGAATATTACCATAAACTTGAGTCCATCCACCAACCTGTACTCATTAGAATATGCAAATCAAATATAGGTTCATATATGCAGCTGAAGATTGCATGTAGATTAATACTGATACGAAAATTCAAAAGAACTTACCTGCTTGCCTTCGAACCAAACTCTATATGGTACAGTTGTGTTCAGTCCAAGTTCTTTAGCCAGTGCATGAACCAAGGTGCGGCTTCCAGTCAACGGAATAACAGAATCTTGATCCCCACTGTTGGCAAGATTTTACAATTGCTTTGATATCAACAAGAACTATGAAACTTACTGTTGAAGTTGCGAGTGTGGACTGGTAATTATGTTTATACCTGTAGATTAATACTGGGATTCCTTCCTTGACTAGGGATCCTACTATAGAGATTGTAGGAATCTCTAAGTTGGGCATATCATAGTCCAAAATGCTGCAATGCAAGAGAAATGTCTGGCTCATCGATGTTCGTTAAAACAAACTACATAATAGACAAGATTTTAACTTCTTTTAGTCATTAGTACTACCAGTCAATATTGCCACAACAATTAGATAGTTGGAGAATTTGTAGATGACTATGAAATTCAGTTGCTTTAATGAATATGCTTTCTTAATTATCTTCAAACTGTACTTGGAGAGAAGCATTGCATTTGCAGGATTAAGGATGAGGAAATATTACTTGCTGCAAACATCCCATCTACGGACTCCAACAAGCCTAGCATGGAGAGCTTTCTGTACATCTTTTCGGTTCAAATAATTTATAATCTCGTCTTCAACACATACATCTATCCTCTCAGCATTTTTCTGGCGATTACAAGAAATTAGCATAATAAATTTCACGAACTAATTTAAGAAATAAAGCATGTGAAGTAATTTGGTCGAACAACTTACTTGTGGAGCAATAAATTTGGATTGGGAAAGCACAGACGGGATGCAGACATCCAAAGTAACATCATATTTGTCTACGAATCTACTAGTTTCTCTGTTCACTTGGCTCATGGCCATTGAACAAACAGGTGAAACATTATCGCTGTAGTATTCTCTAACGTATTGAGAATAATTACACTTGGAAGTGAACATATTGTAGGTTGAATCTGATATCAACCCATGAGACCAGAAGTACTCTGCCCTTGAATTTAAATCAGTGGCAAAATCTAGAAGTGGATTGCCAAGCTGCAAAAGATTGACACGCTTCATCAAAAACAATATCAATTGGGAAAACTCTTGAGCCCCCACCAACAACCCTTAAGCTTCTACTATCTATCTGTTCCTCTAGTTGATAGAATCCTAACATGTCGAATATCAAAATTGAATAAAAGTGTCTTATCTCTGACAACTTAAGCATAAGGGGTTTAGCGTGGTATGCTACCATCTATTTATGAAAATTATTCATGAGTAAGTGTTTTGGTCGAAAAACTATATTGAATCTCACGTAATTAAGTGTCTACCAAAGATAAAATTTAAATAATTTATGTCTCCTCTCTAACTATTAGAAAGGATATTGAGCCTAACTCAACCTAACAAGACCGGCTTGTTAGGGGAGGATTGTCATCACCTTATTAAGTGGATCGTGTAAATATCACCCGTCAATGTGGAACTCTACTAATACGCTCCCGCACGCATAGCGTGGACCATGCCAAATAATTGTGAACAAATCGATATTGGGTGCACCCTACATTGCAAAATTGGGCATGCTCTGATACCATAATAGAAAGGATATTGTGCCTAACTCAACCGGCTTGTTAGGGGAGGATTGCCCTCACCTTATTAAGTGGATCGTGTAAATATCACCAACCAATTTGAGACTCTAGTACTAATAGTGTAAGCTTTTAAATGAGGTGGTTTAATATAATGCACTCAGAATAGAGCATATCGTATGAATTTGTATACTAGTGATCATATCACTTATTCTTGGCAAACTATAGTTGCTTAACACTAACACCATATTAATGTAATTTAGGTGTCTTTCTTAGCGGTAGTTTAGTTTTTTCCCAAGTTTTATAGTTTCGCATTTTACAATTTATATTCTACTGTTTGTAGTCCATTTCATAATATTGAATAATACATTTGCATATTTTTTAACAAATGATATGGTGTAAGATAAAGCACTCAAATTGCAAAAATTACTTAAGCTAAAATTGCTTAATAATTTGCGCACCTGTCTTTCTAACCCGAAGAAAGGGAAGCCAAATCCTAACATAGCAAAAAATAACACCAATGAATACTTACTGCTATTCCTTTTAGATTGAACACCTTTTTCTTTTTATTGAACTTGATCATTAGCTTGGCAAGTTGAGGTACATAGTGACCTGGAGTTCATAAAACAAAATGAATCGAAACAAGACTCACAAGCATCTAATACTGTCATACAAAGGTATAATAATGTTAAGGTTGTAGACGAAGATACCAGCGTAACTTTCCCCAGTTATAAACAAGGGACTATGAGCATACTGGGGAAATTTGAGGAACCACCTTCGCAAGAAAAAGATATTATCCCTGGCTTACAAATCAAATGGAAATCCAGCGTTAGGAAGAATGGACTGAACAAAATTTAATTGGCGTCTTGAGATTACCGAAAATAACATAAGATTATGAACCAACTTGTCTAAAAGTTTTAAACTGTCACGTGTGGTATGGATTTTTGTCTTCATCGACGGCCTAGCACATGCACAGTTTTTCATAAACTTGGGACAATGAAGAACAATGCTATGGGTACAGGAAATTACCCACAAAAATCGGACAGAATACACACAATAGGTGGTGCCCTTTTTTTGGCAATATTTAATTCAAGTGGGGCCCGTCTATCATGTGAGAGGAATTTAAATTCCTGTACAAAATCTAGATTTTTTTTCACTGTACCTGCAGCATTTTTCGACAATGAAACATGAAATCAACACTTTCTTAGCGCCGTTAACCTTTTAGATGACTTAAGAAACTCAAAATTTTACTGGGTGCTTGGCTGGACACTATTGGACCATATGGCATAAGTTGTTGCATACGAGATAAATTTATGTTATTTATATTTTCATGCATGGAGAGGCATAACTGAACGGCAAAAACTGGCATTATAAATCAGAGATACATACCGGTGATCTCATCATTCACAGTCCCATATTCTGAGGTATTAGTTGAATAAGAGAACCCAACTCCTATTGGTGTATCCAAATACAACATATTTGCTTCTGCAACATAACACCAACCAGATTAAAAGATCATCAGATTTCTGCTAAAATTCTCAGACCACCTTATACACGTACAGAACTGTTCTTACCTCTGTTCCAGCTATACTCATTTCGATCAAGAACTTGTCCATTTGGTCTTAAAGGTCCATTTTCAGAAAATGCCCCAACACCAATAGAGGAGCAGCCAGGTCCTACAACAAAAAAATATGATACCCTTATGGTGAATTTTTAAGGTGGACGTACTCGACAGCATTAAAGAAGAAAAATAACAATTTCATATATTGTACTGTCTAATTATGTGCAGTAATACTTAGCAAACATGCCAATAAATTTAATGAAGCAAGTGAAATGTGCATACCTCCATTCAACCATAAGACCAGAGGCTTTGAAGAAGGGTCCTTTTCTGCCTCAACAAAATAGTAAAATAGGGCCTTTTGTTTTCTGTCATCAACGGTAACATAACCTGAAAATTGTTGAAATTGCAATGTGGGTTGTCCAGGCAACTTAGTAATCTTGTCAGGATGAGACAACATAGACTCAACCTCAGCAAAACAACCTAAAATTAGGAACAAGATAACCATAGCCATTGCCTTTGCTTTTGATATTTTTAAAACCATGAAGTAAGGGAGTGAAGAACTCGTAAACATGGAGACTGCAGAACGTATGTATTGTGTATATATATATTGTTATCATGTAGAAGGAATGGAGTGGTGGACTTACGAGTGGGGTCCTAAACAAATAGCAATATAGCATGCTTTTCTTTGGGTGCCCATATTATTGTCTAACCTCTAAAAATGAACAAGTTAATGCTAAACATTTTACATAGTTTCACAATCAGTCTAATAAAAACATCTAAATCTCTGTTAAGCCCTCATCTGCATTACATAGTTTCACAATCAGTCTAATAAAAACATCTAAATCTCTGTTAAGCCCTCATCTGCATATCCAACTATGNCCCCCCCCCCAAAAAAAAAAAAAACTTAGTAGTGCTTACGAATTCAACATGTTAACCATAAGACAGTTTAACAAAGGAAAAAAAAAGGTTCTTGGTGCCAGCAATTGATTGTACAAATCTAAGAAAAGTTGAGGACCAACTTGCTACTCGAGTAGTGATCACGATGCAATATTTCCTTTTTCCAATGTCTGATAATGATATATAGAGTGTCTTCTTTGCTTGCAGGACAGTAGAGGTGGTGGGAGTAGGCCATAAAGTGGTGTGAGATACTTCTGTCATTATCTGGCAAAGCTATGAACACATTGAATTTACTAACAATTTTTTTTCCACATTTAAAATAACTGTTTATTAATTTATTCAAACTATTAAATGTTAGTTTTAACATTTGATTATCCTTAAAATAAGTTTAAATGAAACGATGAAAAAATATTTCATAATATATTTTTCAGTTCCTTATGTCTTTATCTAAATCTACAAGTGATTATAGTTATCAATTACTCAAATATATATTTAGAACGTATTAAAATATGAATCCCTTTTTTAAAAACCCTTTTAAATTGAATCCAAAAGGGACCATGTTATGCCAATGTCTTTTGAGCTTTTGCATATTCAGGGTAAGTTATGTTCCTCAGAAAGCGAATTAACAGTATTGTCTTTCACATCTCATGACATTTGTGAAGACAACCATTCTGCCTCCAAAGAAAAGCTCCTAAATTCATATAAACAAAATCATATGACACTATCATATGATTCTTCTTAAATTTAAGTACTGTCTTTATGGTACTTTGGTAACTATAATCACCAATAAGTCCCACATGAGACTGAGAAACATTGCTACTGTCCGCCTTTCTGTGCAAGAATCCCAGCCAATAACAAGTCCACTCTAGATTATAAGTTGAGATGTACCCATAAAATTGTTCGAATGTGACTGATAAGGAGGACGAAAGTAAACAATAGAGGCTACCAAATGATGGTGCACTTACAAAATTCAGATAAAAAAAATAAAAAGATGGATCACAAATCTTGTTATATGTGTACCCAAGACCTCGTGAAAAAAGGTAACTTTAAAAATACCAGTGGGGTTTCCACCATCAATTCTTTGCCTTTTCACTTTTCAAACACACCATCATAGCTTCTAACTGGGGTACCCCACCTTCTGAACATGCTTTACACAAGGCACATTTTTCAGTTTCCCACTGAGTAACTACCAGAGACACGCAGATACAGAAAGGCATATACCTGCTCAGAGCAGTAGCTAAATTACCCTCTGTTTGTCTTCCGTTAAAGCCAGCTGCTTTTGGGAAAATAAGTGTTGGAATGATAATTTTTTGGAAAATATGTAATTAAAAATTAGGAAATAGTTTTGAATTTAAGTACAAAATATTTTATTGTGTGAATGTGCGGTTGAAAATGAGGTTGAAAATCAGAAGCCAAGCCGCCACCTTCCCACGCTGTGAAACTGTTCATTTTAAAACTTAACATGTTTTGTAAACATAATTTTAACTTTTTTTTTTTCGATGATAAACTTGTCTAGTGTAAAAAAAAATAAAAAATAAAAACCATTTACTCATTTAAATTTAGAGCTTCAGCATCACAATTTACTGGTAGACTGGGTGGTGTAGAAATGATTAGTATTAAGGAAAAATATATTATGAGCCTGCAAGCAGATGTTGATTAGTGGACATATTCATAGAAGAATACTCGAGTACGAGCTGAAAAAGCTATGAAGCGCTGAATTCCATGTTCAATTCATTCATTCGTCTTGAATTGTTTATTTAGAAGTTTGGCATCCCATCAAGTTAAGTTTGACTAAGCTTAAAAGTATCTTTAAAAGTTAGTAGTATATTTCTGCACACATGTTAAAATAAGTAATCTCTAACAGTATCTCCAATCATGGTGTAAAATATATTTAAATTGTGATTTAAATCTCCGAATCAGTCGAAAACCACTCTGATGGAGAGATGCAAAGGAAATGTAAATTGCATTTTTCGGCAGAAAACGTAAAAAGAATATAATTTTACATACTTTTATATTCATAAGAAGCAAAAAGTAGATTTAAATACTTTCATTGGAGCAAAATTTGAATTTAGATCCACCGAAATTTAAATGATGATGCAAAAGTGATTTTTGAAATATCAATTTACACTCAATTTGCACTACCATTGGAGATGCTCTGAACTTAGTCACACATTTACACACCTCTTAAGCTCGTGTGGTGTTGAAATGAACAAAAACGCGAAACAAATAATAATTCATTCATCGTCGTGTTTAATGTCATAACTCAACTTCATTTACCGTCATGTCTAATGTCATTTATGTGCCAAACACAGCATTAGAAAAAACACAAATATATATTATTAAATTGACTTGCCTCAATTCAACTTGAAAAACGTAACCTCACTCACCTTTACATAAATAATGTCAAGTCAAGCTCGAGAAAAAAACATCATCATATGACTTTAATAATTTTTCCCCATTCAATTTTGTTTCTTGGTAACAAGGAGAAACCTTCCTAATATGTCTCCAGAAACAAAGAAGTCATGCCAGGTTGATGGTCCCGTACCCCTGAGAAAGGTTTAGACATCATCACCAAGAAAACTATCACAGTTGCGG